GGGAGGATATCCAGCAGGTTGGTGTCCACCAGGAGGAGGATATCCTGCTGGTGGGTAACCTTGTTGAGGTGGATAACCTTGTGGAGGAAATCCTCCAGGTGGACGATGGTGCCCTGCAGCAAATCCAGCAAGTTGGGAAAGCAGCCCTTTGTCAGAAGATTCACCTTGGTGCTTGTCTTTACCCATTTTTCTTCAACTAAAGGCAAACACTACATATTCAAAAACACAACAGTTAATAACACCAACCCAAGACTGTTATCCCCCAAAACAACTCAAGACCAGCATAAGTTAAAATCCTTGAGAAAGGACACAAAAGTAATCAACTTGAATTACATGAATGAAACATGCACTTCTGCCCCACAACTGATTAAGTTTTAATGTAACAAAATATGAAAATGGATGTAGAAATATTTAATAAGCACTAGAAGTGTTCCCTTTTATTAACTTTCACTTGATGTTTTCCAGTAATAGTTCTCATTCCCATTGTATTTTTTGTCTTACCCACAACACTCACCATCTAGATATTAGAGCTAAAGCATATTTCAAAATATCAATCTCAAATAATAATTTATCTCAACCATTAAATCTCTAATAGTTTTTGCAAGTATTAAAACTTTTCTTCCCAAAATTAAGATGTACGATGAAGAGGAGTCACATGCACTGAGCCAAGAGCCTTTGGCTCAACTGACATTCCTTCCATTAGAAGAGACCCTCTACACCCATTCAATTCCTCATTTACAAAGGATAATAGCTCTTACCAAAAGATTTTTTAAAAACAAAGCCACGTGCTTTGAGTGCTAGGATAAGGAAAGGTAATCGTACCATGGAACAAATGCATTACATCTGAAAACATTCCCCAAATAAAATACCTTCAAAAGCTAGATTCAATCACTCGAATTGTGTTTTTACAAAAGCACCAGCATGAAGGGGAAAAAGAAATTAACCCGATCTAAACACAATATTCCTTCCGAAAGGAAATTGAAGAGAGTTAACAATATCTTCCAAAACGTCCAACACTATACAAGTATCTGGCTGGCATGCCTGCATGCACAGCTGAGATGGTGATGGTGGCATTGCTACTAATAGGACTATCCAGAGAAAGAATCACATCAATACATGCTCTCTCTCCGATGTTAAAGTGCTCATAACTCCATTATTTTCGTGATCACATATATTTGTGTCTCGATGTCACTAACAACAACAAGTCTGAATTCTCTCACCAATCAAGAAACACCCAAATATATATATATATATATATATATATATATATATAAATTGGAAAACCAGAAATGAAAAAGAAAATTCCTTCATCCAATCATCACCCAAATCAATATTCAGAAAATCATACATGCTATCAGCAACAGCCCATATTGCAAAACCACAACTTAGATAGGTGAAACAAAAAGAGATGGTAAATGAAAAATTACTCACGATTAAGTTATGAACAAATCACCGGATTTAACCAGGAAAGAACAACTGAAACTTTTGATTCTAGGAAAATAATTGTTTACAAAAAGGATTAACGAGAAATAAAAAGATCAGACAAGATCATATAAGAAACAGAGAAGATATTTTGATTTTGACAACAAGATATTGATCAATAACCAATCAACATAACAGATAAAAATCAAGAAATCATGAGAGAGAAAAAATTCAACCAAAACAAAATCCAGAAGGAGCCAAAAAAGTAGTTACCGATTAGATTGGAGACGAGGGTGTAGGGATTAAAACTGGGAAGGAGGGTTTGTGAATTAGGAAGCGAAGATTCAGACTTTTATGAGCTTTTCAATTTTGTTCCTTTTCAACAGAAAGGCGTGAATTTAACGTCTTTATCGGTTTGGAAAACACGCGTTCTTTTAACGCGTCTGCTTTATACCCATCTATTGTTTTTTTATTATATCATAATTTTCTATAATATTTTAATTAATTTCTTTTTTTTTAATTTACTGTATTATTTTCTTTCATTATAAATTAAATTTGGCATTTACTATTTTGAATTTCAGAATTTTTAAATAAAATAATCACTTTATTTTTTCAAATAAGTTGATAAATTTAGGGTTAAAAAATATTAATTTAATACTTTATTTTACGGTATAATTTTATTAATAATTATTTTGGATATACTCAGAATTTTATTTATTATCGAATTAATAACATCATAATTAAGCACGTTAGTCAAAAGCCATCTTTGCTCCGTTACGTAGCAGGAGAAACTCGTGTAAGGCCTTATATATATTTTATATATGCGTGTACATATATGTCAATACATGTTTATCTATATACATATATATATATATATATAAATGTATGTCTAATGGTTTGTTTGATGAAATTTATGTTGGATCCAGACAACAAAATGAATTTAAATAAATCAATTATCTTTCTTGGCTTACCCAAATATAGACCAAGCCAATACTTGGAAATTAAGATACATACCAAGTTGACAGGGAAATGCATATATATATATATATACACACACATTATTCTCTCAATTTTTAAGTTTAATTTTAGAGGGTAAAATTATTATTTTAATTCTTAAATTATTTAATGGCGTTATAGTTGGTTATGAAAGATAAAACTGTTTCTTGCTCTAAAATTATGTTGAAAAGAACAGCCAAGTTAGCTCTCCCTCTCTCTCTCTCTCTCTCTCTCTCTCTAGATATATATATATATATATATATGTATCTTCTACCTTTCTTCTGAAATACAATAGAGACATCAATTCATCACTCCAACGAAGGAAACTCTAAACATGTCTTTTTCTTCTGGTACAACCTTCTGTAAATCTTTGCACCTTCAGATTCTGCATGGATTTCTCTCTCAGTTCTTATCCCCATTGGGTTTTTCAACAACCATCCATCATTGTCACACACCACATTATTCTCAATTCCATCAATGTATTTAACATCTAATGCCTCATCAAACTGATTTCTCATGTCGACAGCCACTTCGAGCACATCAGATTGTATAAAAACCTATTCAATCAAACACAGTTAATCTTCACAAAAGGGTATTCGTTTAAACTTCCATGCATACGTCAAAAAGCATTTTTCGGAATCCCAAGCAGCATAATGTTTTACTCGCTAGAAACAAGATCGTGATGATTATGTTTGCTATCAGTGCGAGGTAGAACCAGTAAAACAGTACAAATCAATGCATAATGCATACTTCAGGATCCAAAAGAAAATATAAATGACAAAGTGATGACAGTTGGTATCACCTTCCCAGAAGCTGATCATTTCACACTTAGAAGAAAAGAAAACAAAAACCGAAAAAAAAAAAAAAAAAAACCAAAAACAAAAAAGAAAAAGAAAAAGAAGCAGTTCATCCCTTCCTCTTTACTAAACAATTAGGCAGGAGAAAAATTTTCTGTGTCAGTGCCTTCCCTTTCAACCCAGCAACATAAGGGAACTTTTCCAACAAAAACATGCAAAACATTCTATGAAATGCAGATTAGGCGCCCAATTAACAAGATAAGTGTTTAATATTTCCTTCCACAAATTCCAAACTTTAGTAGGGAAAAGTCGAGAACCAGCACTATTATCACTTGACCATTGTTAATCGTTAAAATATATTTTCCCACAATTATAAGTTATCCTATGTAATTAGTTTTTATGTGTTTTTGTTATGTGTAAAGAAAATGTAAAAGATGGTTAACTTTAGTTACAAGCTAGGCTATAAAAGAGGAATGAACCATCATTACTTAAATGAGTATTGGTGAATGAAACCAAAACAGAAATCTTCTCTCTGCTAAATCTTTTCACTCTGCTCCTATTCTATTCTCTCCTGTTAAATCTGTATCCCTCTGGTAGCATTTAGTAGCAGAAATCATGGAACTGGACATTACAAAATTATTCATTCTGATGGTCAGTACAAAGAAATAAAGAACAGAATAGTAAAAATATATGTATAAATAATGAACAAAACTTTCTCATTTTTTTGTGGGACAAATTTGTTCCAGGTGCTGATACAAATACAAAACTTTAAAATAACAAAATACTTATCTTGATGTGGCTTATTCTTAATTTACCATTTATCTTTTATATAAATTTTAATTTTTTATCTTATACTATACGCAATTAGGTAAAAAAATAATAATTCTATAACATTTGATTATTATCAATAAAATGTTTAATTAAAAAATTGTTGAACAAATGTTGGACCAGTTCTTGTTAGGCTAGGATGATTTCATGAGGACTAGGCAAAAAAAAAAATTACTTAAGACACTAAAAGAACATCTTAAAGCCTCGGCTGATTCTTCGACAGCTTTTGCTGATGATTCAACAATGAAGATTTGCAAGAAACGCTGTCATACATCTCTGGAAAATTCATCAGAGCTAATGGAGACCACCTAGTTTTTTGGAGAAAATG